GGGGAGCGGCGGGGCCCTGTCGGGGGCGGGACACGGCGACACCGGGGCCGGCCCGGGGTGACGCGGCCGCCTCTGCCGCAGGTGAGACGGTGCCAAGATGCAGATCTTCGTGAAGACCCTCACGGGCAAAACCATCACCCTCGAGGTGGAGCCCAACGACACCATCGAGAACGTGAAAGCCAAGATCCAGGACAAGGAAGGTACTGGCGGGGCCGGGAGCGGCGTGGGGGCGGGGCCCGCGGGGGTCCCCCGGTGTCCCCACCGCCGTGCTCGTGTCCCGCAGGGATCCCGCCCGACCAGCAGCGCCTGATCTTCGCCGGCAAGCAGCTGGAGGATGGCCGCACCCTCGCAGACTACAACATCCAGAAAGGTGCTCCCCCGACCCCGGGGGTCTTTGTTGGGGCGGGGGGCGTTTTTTGGGGGGCTTGCCAGCTGCTGCTTTCCCCCCGGTGTGACGCCGATGTCTCCTGGCAGAGTCCACCCTGCACCTGGTGCTACGCCTGCGAGGGGGAATCATCGAACCCTCCCTGCGCCAGCTGGCCCAGAAGTACAACTGCGACAAGATGATCTGCCGCAAGTACGTCCCAGCGTCCCCTCCCCGTGTCCCCTCCCCGCGTCCCCTCCCCGTGTCCCTCCCTGTGTCGCTCCCCGCGTCCCCTCCCGCTGCCCTTCGCAGCCCCCCCCCGGCTCCCAGAGCCCCTCCCCAGGGACACGGGGCTCTGCTGACCTGTCCCCCCCAGGTGCTACGCCCGCCTGCACCCCCGCGCCGTCAACTGCCGCAAGAAGAAGTGCGGGCACACCAACAACCTGCGCCCCAAGAAGAAGGTCAAGTAGAGCCCCCCAGCCCTGCCTGCGCCGGCCAATAAAGTATTGCAGCGCTCGGCGCCGTGGTTTCTGGTGGTTTTTTTACACAAATTGTGGTTTTTGGTAAATGGCGGCGGTGTTGGAGCAGCATAGGAGGGTGGGGAATGGGGAGGGAGGGAGGTGGGGGTGCTGCTGGTGGGCAGTGCCTGCAGCAATGTGTGCAAGGACTGGGCCAGCACTGGGACCCCCTGCCCACCCACGGGACCCCCGGCCGTGTGCACACAGCAGATGGGCACTGGGAGCCAGACAGGGACTGGAGCAGCACCAGGACCACACACAAAACCCCCTGCTCATGCACGGGGTCCCCCCAGGCATGGGGGTGACTGTCACCAGGACCCCCTACACGCACTGGGACCCCCCAGGCATGGGGGTGACTGTCACCAGGACCCCCTACATGCACTGGGATCCCCCCAGGCATGGAGGTGACTGTCACCAGGACCCCCTACAGGAGCTGGGACCCCCCAGCTATGGGGGTGACTGTCACCAGGACCCCCTACATGCACTGGGACCCCCCCAGGCATGGGGGTGACTGTCACCAGGACCCCCTACATGCACTGGGACCCCCCAGCTATGGGGGTGACTGTCACCAGGACCCCCTACATGCACTGCTCATGCACTGGGACCCCCCAGGCATGGAGGTGACTGTCACCAGGACCCCCTACAGGAGCTGGGACCCCCCAGCTCTTGGGGGGACTGTCACCAGGACCCCCTACATGCACTGGGACCCCCCAGCTATGGGGGGGACTGTCACCAGGACCCCCTACATGCACTGGGACCCCCCAGCTATGGGGGGGACTGTCACCAGGACCCCCTACATGCACTGGGACCCCCCAGCTATGGGGGTGACTGTCACCAGGACCCCCTACACGCCCTGCTCACTCCCTGGGAGCCCTCTGGTCACTTCTGCAGGGTCTGGATGGACACTGGGGCCCCCCGCCCACTGCTGGGACCCCCGGCCAGGTGTGCATGGGACCGGCTGGGTTCTGGGCTCTCCCTGTTCGGCGGCAAACCCACCGGGAGCTCCCGACCGCGTGTCCAGTGACCGGCACCGGGACGCCCTACTCACGGAGCCCCCAGAGCCCCCACTGCCCACCCACCGGGACCCCCTGCTCACGGAGCCCCCGGAGCCCCCACTGCATCCCCCTGCCCATCCACCGGGACCCCCGGCCGTGCGTTCACAGCACCGCCGCTGCACGGACCAGACCGGGCACCCGGGGCAGGGCACCGGGGCTGGCGACGCTGCCGGTCGGTGCCTGCAGGTGGCGGCGGAACCGCGCTCCGCCCCGCGGGCCCCGGGCCTGCGCCGTGCGGCCGGGCCGGGCCATGGTGAGCGGCACCGGGACGGGAACGGGAACGGCCCCCGGGGGACGGGAGGGGCGCCCCGGGACCGAGCGGGTCCGTGCGCGCGCGGTCACGGGGGGCTCGTGGATGGGGGGTCCCGGTGCCCGTCTGTGTTGGGAGCCGGGGGATGCCGGTGCCGGTCCGTGGACACGTGGCCGGGGGGCTCTCGGTGCGTTTGCAGCGGGCTGGGGGCATCCCGGGGCCGGGCAGGTCCCGGTGCCCGTCTGGGTTGTGTGAGCACGGCCGGGGGTCCCGGTGTACATAGAGAGGGGTCCCGGCGCACGCCTGGACGGGATGGGGGTCCCGGTGCCCTTCGGTATCGCGGGCACGTGTCCGGGGGGGGGGGGGGGGGTCCCGGTGTCAGTCCGGTTCGTGCAGGAGTAGCCTGGGGGCCCGGTGGGTGGGCAGGGGGATATGAGGGGTCCCGGTGCCTGTCTGTATTGTGTGCACAAGACCGGGCGGCTCCCGGTGCCGGTGCAAGCACCGCGGCCGGAACCCACCCGGGACCCCCAGAACCGGTGCTGGGTGAGGACGCGTTGCCCCAGCACCGGGGTGATCCTCCTGGGCGGTACCGCCTGTGCCCGGAGCCCGTTACCGGGTCACCGGTGCCACCGCGTCCGTCCCCTTGTGTCCCGCAGACGGGCGAGGCCGTGCGGGAGCTGCTGCAGCGGCTGCGGGAGCTGCAGAGCGAGCGGGTCGAGACGTACCGGCTCTTCGAGGAGTGAGTACCGGCACCGGCACCGGCGCGGGGACGGGCCCCCGGGGGGCGGCCCCCACCGGGACACGCGGCACCTCCCGGGGCGGGGCACCCCCAGCAGGGAACCGGATCCCCCATCCCGATTATTTTGCATCCTGTTGGGACGGGGGCCATGGGGATGGCTGATGAGCTCCAGCTGGCAGCGGGGCTCTGCGCTGGACACCTGAATCCTATTTTAGCATCCAGCAGATGATGGACTTCCTGGGATGCAGGGCTGAGAGTGTAAAAGGATGAAAAAACCCAAACCTCCAACTTTTCCCCCCGCAAAAAGCAGTTCCCAACGCTGTCCCGTGTGAGGGGTGAGGCTGCCTGGTGCTGCTGCCAAATCCAGGCAGGAAAACCCTGCTGGTGCTGCCTGTGGTGGGTGGCAGAGGGGGCTCAGCTCCGGGTGTGGTGACAGTGGCTTCCCCCCCCCCAACCTGCCCGCAGGGGCCACCGGGCGTACCTGAGCAGTGCCCCCCACTATGACTTCCCGCGGTACCGGCAGCTGGTGCACGAGGTCACCGTGGCCTTCAGTGGCATCTCCCGGGAGGTGCTGGACATCGCCGGGCGCCTGCGGGACGAGCTCGGCCGCCCCGACCTGGCGCAGCACCTGGCCCGGCTCCAGGACAGGGAGCAGGAGAAGCTGCAGCTGGTGGGTGCTGGGCTTGGGGGGGGTCCCTTGGGCAGTGCTGGGGCTGCTTTGGGGGGTGGGTCTCAGCTCCCGTGGTGTCCCCCTGCAGACGGCACAGCTGCAGCTGGCCCGGCAGCAGGCTCAGGACCAGCCCGAGGTGGACGCCCATCAGCAGGAGGTGCAGGAGCTCAAGCACAAGTAGGTGGTGGCCCCGCCGCTGTCCCCCCTCATTTTGGGGGGGGAATGAGCCTAGAAACCCCAGTGCCATCCCCTTGTGCCCCTGTTTTGGGATGGCACCCCCTCCCCAGCCCGCGGGATCCTGCCGTGTCCTGGGTTGGAAGGGATCATGGAGTCCAGGCCAGGAGCCCCTTCCCTGCGTTTCCCCGCCCTCCCTCCGGCCCAGGGGGGCCCAGATGGTGCCTTCGGGGTCTGGCGGCGCTGCGTGGCCGCGTCCCCTCGGCCTCCCCAGGCTGAGTGTTTCATAAACAGCGCGGGGAAGGCGAGGCGGCCCACATAATACGCTCCATATGGGCTTTATTTATAGTTTCCATCCGCTCTCGTAGGCTAATTAAAACCATTGAGGCAATCAGCGAAATTCTCCAGGACCTTAAGTACGATTCGGAAGAAGTTGAGTGATGGGTGTCCCCGTGGGAACGGCTGGAGGGGCCGGGCTGGTGGAACGGGGGCCCCGCTCATCCCCCACCCGCTCCCGGTGCACCTTGGCAAGGTGGGCATTGTCCTCTGGGCCCCTTTTCTGGAGAACCTGGAAGGGTGGAGAAGCTCCCTCTGGTACAAGAGGGGTCCCCCTAAATCCTGAGTACCCCTCAGCAGAGGGGTCCGGCGTGGGGCTGGTTCCCCTCCCCGGCTGTGCCAAAGGCAAACCACACCGTGCAGTGCCAAGGGGCTGCCGTGCTGGGCCTCCATCGAGCTGGGCACTGTCCCTGCTGCCAGCTGGAGTCCCATGGGCAGCAGCCCCCCCAAACCACACCTTGGAGACCGGCTGTGCCCCCCAGCCCCACTGCAGCTCCACGAGCTCTTTTTCTACGGTCACCCCAAATAAACCTGCCCCCACGGAGCTGGCCTGAGTGGTGTGATCTCAAGGGTTCGTGTGGCCCCCGCTGCCCCAGTGCCACCCCCTCCACCTTGGCTCGGTCCCCTGGGAGCCCCGGGCTGGGGTGACAAGGGCCACGGGCCCCATTTGGCTGCCCGCTGCATCCCCGTCCCCGCGCAGCGCTGCCGCTCCGCTGACGCAGACCCCGGTGGGGTTTCAGAGGTTTATTGGCATTAAGCTTAAATCTGTTCCTAATTGACTGAAATGGAACCAAAATAAGGCTGGTTTGAATCAAAACTGGAGCAGGCACTGGGCAAACCCCAGCAGCCTCCAATCAGCCCGCGTGGCTCCCTGGGGACGGACCCCTCCGTGCTCTAGCACGTGGGACCCTGGCGAGAAAAAGGCCAAAATCGCTTCCCGGGGGGGGGGGAACTACGGCGAGGGTGGGGTCACCCGGGAAGCCCCCGCCGCCCCTTTCATCCCAGAGGCTGCTCCGGCTGGCGGAGCAAAGCCTCGGTGCCTCCCGCGGCCGGGCAAGGCTGGGGGGTCCCCTCGCTGCCGCAGGGCCAGGGTCCCACAGAGCCCCCGGGGCTGGGCCAGCCCGGCCCCCCAACCTCACCCCACCCCGTTCCCCAGGGCTGCGGGGCCGCGCTGCGCCCCGGTCGCCT